TAGCTCAGCCTAATTGCAGATCTGAGCCAAGTTGTGCAAAGTCAGAGAGGACTGTACAACTTCAAAGGCAGTGCCCACCCATCTGCACAACCAGCAAACATTATTTGCCTTTCCTGGGTCATTATTAGCTTATCCACTGATGATGACAGGTTAGACCACAGAGTGAAGACCACAGTTAGACCACAGTACTCCAGTAAAACTATAAAAAGTCAGGGTAGAATGATAACTATTTCCTCAAATAGTCAACATCCCAAAATAGTGTTGTAGGACATGGGAAATCAAGATGCCTTCAAAAGGAACTAGACAAAACACCATAATGGGCTATAACTGAAGGGAAACTTATAAAATGACCTAAAAATTCAGAAAAACCCACTTAAAAAACATATATCAGTGAACCTAAAATGTACCAATAAATTCAATGAGGAAAAAAATCAGTGAACTTCAATAATATAGAAATTTAAATAAAAAAGGAAATTTTTAGCTTATTCCCATCCTGGGAAATTTAAAGACTTTGCGAGTCCCTGTCTCATAGTAAAAAATAACAAAGGGTCTGTGAATATAGCACAGTGTAAAGGCCCTGTGTTCAATCCTGACTAATGTAAAAAATAAAAAGCTACTGTCATTTCTAATAAAATGGATGGAATCAGAGGACATTTATATTACTTGAGTTGTCATGAACTGAAAGATGGTTATTTCCTGATATCACTAATATATAGCAGCTAATAAAGTTGATCTTGCAGAAGTTGCGAGTAGAATGGTGCCCAGCAGAGGCTAGGCAGACTAGAGGGGAGAAAAGGACAAAGAAAGTTTCATTAACATGTACTTAATTAGATATGAGAAATCACACTGACAGTCTGTTGCACAGTAAGATGACTGCAGATAATAATGCTATACTGTAAATGCTTAAAAAATTGGAAGATTTTGAAAGTTTCACCATAAATCAATGATACTCTAGAATATAGATATTCAAACCATATCCTGATTTAACTTAAAAAAACTATATGTGTATGAAAATGTCACAGAGTACTCCAAAATTGGTGTAATTTTATGTTAATTTTTAAAAAGTGATATAAGGAAACATGCACAGGCAAAATAAGATATTTGCAAAGAAATTATGACATAAAAGTCCAAGTGACCATTAATGAAGTAAAAAAGCAAAACATACAATGGAATGTTTCAACAGCTGGTTTAATAAATTAAAGAAATAATTAGTGAGATTAAAGACAATATATTTGATATAATCTACCAGAGAAGTCCTTAAAATAAAATAATGAAAAATGAGTAAACACATGGGAATTGTAGGGTACCATCAAAAGACATGCTATATGCATAATATGTATCCAAAAGGAGAAGAAAGACAAAAATAACCAGAAAGCATATTTTAAAAGATAATGAATGAAAGAAGTTTCTAATCTGAGGAAGCAGGCGGTGTTAGGGTACAGAATACACAGAAGTCTGCAATAAAACCGATATCAAAGAGGAATTCATCAAAATATAGTACAGCAATCCTAATGAGCAAACTAGTAGGAATAACAGACAAAGACAAAACTCAGCAGAGAGCTGGATTTGCACAATCCTCAGCTCTTGAGTTACTTCATCTCTCCGATCCTCTGTTCCTCCTCTTTGAAATGGAGACAGAAAGCCCTATGTAGCAGGGAGGCCCTGCAGACTAGAAATCATGAAGGAGATCTCAAGTCCTGTTCTGTTCCCTTGGGCACCAGCAGAGGGACACTGAGCATGGATCAGCCCCTCCCTGCCTAGAGAGCAGCACGCACATCAAGGTATGGAAATAACCTGGCTTCTCCCTCAAGGGGTATCAGAAGATTCTGTCTTGGATTGCCTGATTCTCATGACTGCTCTGATGGCGTTGGAGGTGAGTAATAGGAAGCATACAGTATTTGTGCTCTAGTTCTAGGGCTCTGCCTGCATTGGAAAACATTCTGGGTCTACATTTTGTGGTTTACTGGGTTCTCTGCAGCCACATTATTCATTCCAGTCATTACACTGACTTCCTCCATCCCCCCATATCCACTGCCCACATCATTCTGTATCTCACCACGGGCTCCAAATACCGCCTGTCCACCCTGCACCCACTCTGCTTCTGCTGCCTCCACGCTAGAAACCGCTCAGCTGTCATGGGTGACTCCTGTGGGCCCTGCCACGGCACAGTCCATGCTGGGACGGTTCTAATACTAATACGTCCTGCTTGGGGATTTGGAAGATGATTGGTGGACAGTTGCTTTTATGAAAACATTATATCTCATATGATTGGTGTCTCCCTGGGTCCAGCCTGGGCCTATGGGTCAGAATCTCCTGTGGCTCCTGATAGAGGCAGCTGACAGGCTGCGTGTGACCGTCCTGTCCATGGTGTTGCTGTCCCCCTCCTTGTTGCCTGCATTTTGATAGCCATTTGCTCTTAGTCCTTGGACTTCTGATCCCCTGCTATAAGCTCCCTTTGATCATTTTCTGTGGTTAGTGCCTTTTCCTGTGCTAACAATGGACCAACCCCATCATATAAGTGCTCCTTGTGATATCTAGGCAGTCGTTTCATCTGGACGACCTCAATCTGGTTCTCCAGGGGGCTCTGCGGGACACTCCTGAGATGGATGGGTGTGTGGGCTGTATATGGAGGCAGCTGCCCTCAGGGACCTCTGCAGATGTCAGAAAGATTAGTGAGGAAGGGCTTCGTCCTCTCAGTCAGGTGTGGTTTGAATTTTCACACTGCTGGGATAAAAGCAGCACTCAGGCCCCTGGAATGCTTCAGTGATTCCCTAAAGTTTCTAAGCACATTTGTTTTATTTTATTTTTTATTGTTTTCATTGAGTTTATTGGTACTTTTTAAGTATACGGTATAGTTACATTCATCATTGGGATCTTGTACCTTTACATAACAGATCTTCATTCTCATTTTTTGCCCATACTCCTGCTCTACCTTTACCCCCTTCACTATTTACAAAGACTTTGTTTCCATTTGTTTCCTTTTCTCGTATTTTCTCTCTTCTCTTATTTCCTTTCCCCTATCCACCCCACTTCCCCTACACCTTTAGCCCCTTTCTTCCTATTTCACATTGTGAGTTATATAATTTGGATCTTATTTACACTTTTAGTTTTTCACACCAGAGAAACTGTTCAGTATTTACACAGTTTAATCTGTACTTTCTTCCTTTCCTTGGAAAAACAATCTGAAATGGGCACATCCTTATTCTTTTTGAAATCAACAAATTTCTATTTTTCCACTGAGATATTGATACTTTTCTTTGCAAATTTTATTCCAGTGTAAAGAATCTCACTGTGTGTCTGTGTCACTACTGTTCAACACACCATTTGGGTTGGAGTAAGACTCAAAGTGCTAGCTTCATTTTAAATTAACTAATTCCTTAAACACTTCATCTTCAAATACATTTACACTCAGAGATACTTTGTAGTTAGGAATTTCTTATCCAAATGCTGTAGAAATAAAATTCTATCAACAGGTGTTTCATGAATATTTGCAAAGTTAGTCTGTTATATAATTTACTTATTAATTGCAAACATGTAATTCTAATTGCTAAAAATGATAATAAACTTGCTTGAAGCATAAGGCACAAAAAGAGAACTGCAGGAAAGACACTGTTCTGAATATCAATACTAAATGAAAATAAGTAACAAATTTCATTAATAGGTGAGGAGAAAAAGATTACCACATATATGCTAAATGCTACATTTATAAGAAGAGTCAATCTAATTTTCACATCATTTCTTAAAAATAGAAATACAAGTTCTCTATTGAGAGAAAAAGGTAATAAAAGAAATAACAATGACAAAGATAGCAAGGATTGTCCTATTGAGAATGAGATTCATGGAGAGTGTAATCTTGTCTTAAATTATCTGAATTTTAAATCAGGTATATGAAGTAATTACCATTAGATCAGAAAATACACCACAAGAAAGGAAGTTGGACCATGGTAAATGGCTAATAACACTAACACAGTCTTTACCCTTACTATAAAAAGAATGGCTACCATCAAGAAATCAACTAATAACAAATGCTAGTGAGGCTGTGGGGAAAAGGGAACTCATTTCCATTTGTGGTGGTACTATAAATTGCTACAACCACTATGAAAATCAATATGGAGATTGCTCATAAAATTAGAAGTATAAATTTCATTTGATCCAGCTAATCCCCACCTATACAACTTCACAAAACTGTCAAAACCATCATATAACAGTGATGTATGCATACTCGTGTATATAGCAGCACCGTTATTAATAGCTAACCTAGGAAACATCCTATATGCCTATCTACATATGAAATGGATAAAAAGTGATGTAGTATATATACATAAAGAAGTATTAGTCTGTCATAAAAAAGATAAACCTGAGTTATTTGTACGAAAATGAATGTATATTGAGACCTTAATGTTAAGTTAAGAAACTGAGACACACAAGCTTGAATATCACATGATTTCTCTTATACACACACACACACACACACACACACACTATATATATATATAT